GAGTGGAGAAAGTGAATTTTTAAAGACATATTTACGCCCATTTTCGCATAATTATTGATTAGGTCGTTCACTATCTGCTCGTAGTTAGGGCTTTTGTGTCTACCGAGAAAAGAAGCAACGACCTTTTCAAAGGATTCCCACGCTGCTGCCTCAACTGATTACTCTCATCCTTTGAATTGATTATTGTTGATCAACTTTCTTATTTGTGGTCCAACAAAAATACCTTCCTTTATCTTGGCTTGAGAAATATCTGGAAAAACTGTTTTCAAATAGTCGAATGCTTCGCCTTCTTTGTCCAAAGCCTTAACAAAGTTTTTAATGAGACCGAGCTTGATGTGTAAGGGTGGAAGTATGATTTTCTCTTTCTTGACAAGAGGGGTGTATTTGATGTTATCCACACCAACGGTAAACTCGACTCTTTCCGGCCAATCCTTTCTGACGTAGTGGTCCTTACGAGCTCGGCTATCCCACTTGCAGAGGAAGCAGCAGTGCTTGGTGTAGCCACTTTGTAGACCGCATAGCATTGCAACGACTTTGAGATCAGAACATATTTTCCAATCATGCTCTTCATATTTGATAAATTTGAGTATTTTTTGCATTTCCTCGTAGGTTTCCTTTGTATTTACTGCATGTGCAATCGGGATAGAAGGCTTTTTGTTACCAATATGCAATAATACAGCCTTCAAACTCAGTTTATTGCCGTCTATGAACAATCGCCACTCTTTTGAATCATATGTTTGACCAAACTCTTTGAATAAACCAGGGATGTCGTTGCAGTAGCATATACTGTCTTTCTTGGTATAGTGTTTGGAAAATGGTTCGTGACGAGTTCTACTATATGTCACCTTAACATCGGATGACACAAATTTAAATTGTTGCATACGAGAAGTGTGGATCTCGGCCTTTTCCTTGGATAGTTCCAAATCTCTTATCCTATCATTAAGTTGTGCTTGTGACAGAACGTTTCTTTCGTTTTCCATGCGAAATTCAGTACAACTTGATCCCCCGCACTCAGATGTTACTGTTGACAATGGAACTGGATCCGCAACTGCCGTTGAATGTAGTACTGGTAATGTCACTGTAGGTACGCTAGCATAGGTTACTCCTCTTGATCTTCCAACGCCAAGTACTTTTGTTTGACAAATATAACACTCTATTGAATGGCAAGTAGGTTCGCTCCATATCATTGGTGTATCAAATTTTGTTTGTTGTCCTGATTCCCACTGAATCAATTCT